ATTATCTGAGAATTATTTTGTGCATTAAATTGAATGAACATGGTCTGGATAGCCCACAGACATACCATAAAAATTTCTARGACCCATAATTGGTCTCCTTTAAATGCAAATAGAAATGGGGTTAGATCGGCATTAACATCGGTATCGGCCAATGTTGATCATTTTTTTTAGAATATAGGTCCGATAAAACTGGGCCAATATTAACATCGGCCATTAGCAGGAGAAAGTTATGGTTATCGGCATCRGTTCTTAAAATGAGTTATTGTGCATCCCTATAAATTAGCTTTGCATAAAGCAATATACTAATATATATATACATATAAGCAACATAAAATAAGCATTAGTTTCCAAATTAAATGTGAGACAGACAGGGGTCTTATTTCTTTCCTGTGTGCCAAACCCTGGGCTGCTGCAGCAGGATGTCAAACAAAGAAAGCATAACAATAATAAGCTGTGCTTCCTGTCCTGTATCTAACACAGTTTTCTAATTTGGCTGATGTGGTTAAGTRCATTTGTGTGTGCTTTTTTGTGTGTGTRTTGGACTTAAGTGTGATTTTCCACACACGGAGATTTGAAATTATTTATTGCTCATTTGAAAGCACCAAACACAGCTGTGTTTCAAAGTGAGATGTACGTAAATGTTTGTGTTAAACTTTTACTGCAACTCCGGGGGTGGGGGGGTCTTTATAAAGCCTCGTCTGGAAGCCGAGCTCAAATGAAGAGAGCGATTCAGTGACTCAAATAACGGACAAAAAGTGGCACAAAAAAACACAAGAGTAATGTGGAAGTCACGCAGAGACAAAAAAGTTGTATYAACTTATCCCCCTGCAGCACAATGATGTAACAGCAGCCACAAAACGTGCACTTTTTTTTTTTCCAAATTCTCTTTCAGCAATTAGGCAACATTACTGGAAACGATTCCTCATCTGCTACAGACAAATGTGGGCTGTTCACAGAACTGAAGCTCCATTACTGTGTTTTCACTTTGCGTGTAACACAATACCTGTGTTGGCTTCCACATTTAACCGGTATTTAAGAGAATCCACATACGACTACACTGATTAATGCTTGTTTCCATCTATTATCGATCACCAAACCTATGAGATAATCCCTAGTTTGCTGAACAGGTGCTGTTGCWTTTTCATTCAGGCACAAATTACTGCAAAATCAACCTTCCTTTTAAGATAACAYAACGTTTATGAAGATCAGATCCCAGTGTCAAGTTTTAAATTTATATTTTTAGTCAAGTACCTCCAAATAAAAGAAAAGTTGTTCTTAAATTCTATTCTTCACATCACCCCTTAGACTAAACAACATAAATCACAGTGCGAGAGGTATACAACAGATTATTTTAAATAGACGGCTTCTTCGACGCTTTTATCACCTACAATCAAGTTAAAAGACAAAAAAGAGGAAATTAAAAGATGCGATAAGCCGGGATAAGGTACAGCCGAGGAAAGACTTTGTTGTTGGGTTTTAAACCCGATACGAGTTACATAAACAGCGATGAGCAGTAATTACAAAGGACGAGGCGTTTTGTTGACATCCTGTGAATAAGCCCTGTCTAATGTRGCTCCAACCAGCTTCACATGTGGCTTTCATTGCAGCTGGTGGAGCCTTAAATCTGACAGGCCTGAACAGGTCGTCCAGCCAGCGGGTAGAGGAAGGTCAACGAGTGCTGAAGTGTGCCGCTTGCWGGGTCAGCAACATGTGGTTAGCATGTTGGTCTGATCGCCATGAAAGAGTGGTTTATAGGTTGTTGTTTTTTTTTTCTTTCACAATGACGGGTGACCAGGTCGTGACTCAAGTGTGTGGCACGATTTTAAAATGTTGCTCTTGTTATGTTTCTCATATCATAGAACCTGGGGGAGAGTCAGTAGCTGCGTTTCCATTGCATATGTGCGCAAAACTTTGTCGATATTCTGTTAATGTCGAAAAAACACAGTTTCGCAACTGTGGTGTTTCCATTAGGTAAGAAATGCTATTGAAGTCACGTGTGAATACGTTTGTTCTTGCGATAAGTCATTACAAACATGTCAGCGATGGATGTAAAC